AAAGTTATTGTTTGATTATTAAATAAAAAATGACTTACTGAGTTGTATTTAATTCTATATTAATTTGTTGTAAAATTGGTACAAGATTTGCAATTTTTGATGTTCGTAAATAGATAATAATAAGATTAGCAAGAATAAAAAAACGAAATTCTTTATCGCCAGAAAACTATTGTATCAAAAACAAAGGCATATATTATAGATGAATTTAAATAAATAATTTACTCGAGTTCGAAGAGCTGTTGCAAACTATAAGAAAAAAATAAGATTCCATTTATTTTTTTATAATCTAGATCGTTTACCTGTGCTTCGGCAGCTTCATTAAAATTTAATGATGTAGCATAAAAACCCTAAATATAAATTTCGATCTTAGTTTTTTTTAATTATCTTTTCATCAAATAAATTTACTAATAATGCATGAAGAGTTAATGATCGTTGAATTGCAACATTATTATTCATTGGATTTGATGCAGTATGAAGACGGCACAATGTATTAATCTAATAGATTCATATTATTTAAAGAATATATCACAATGAAATTAGTACTTACTTCTTTAATAGCAACGGATTTATTACCATATATTAAATGACTTTGTATGCGACATTCATAAAAAAGCATTTCAACAGCCATTAAAAATGGACTATGATCCATATTTTTAATTTGTTCAATTTGTGCTTGAGCTTTATCAGCATATTTAAGAGCTTTTTCTAATCGACCTGATAACATTGAATGAAAAACGGTTAACTAAGAGAAAAAGAAAATAAAAGTTTTCTATTTTTAATATGAATTTTTTTCGAAAAATAAACATACTAAATAAACAAGAACATTTAAATGATCACGTGATAACCATGTAAATTGTTCCAATGGATTTGTAATTATATAAGCTTCTAGAATAGAAGAAAACAACAATGAATGTATAAATATGAATAAAACAAAGTTTATTATTACCTTCTTCTGGTCGACTTGCTAGATTTTGAATACTTTGTTGAAGTTGAATCAATGCATTTTTTGATGATTTAATCTATATAAGAAAGATTATCACGAATAAGTTTCATTTAGATTCTCTATAATTAAACATACTTGACCAAGTCCAAAACAAGAACATGAGATATGTAAAACCAAATAAAAAATTCTTAATGTTTCAATATGTGAAAAATTGCCTTGTAATGAATTAATTCTATCTAAACATGGTTTTAATAAATTTTGTGCATCCATATAATCTTTTACTAATAATCGTAACTAAATATAATATATTTTTTTTATTTTTTTTATAAAGAAAAAAGTTATTTTACCATAGCTTTAGTAAGTTGAAAAAGAATTTGACAAAATAAGGCATTGATTCTAGCTGAAAATTCTATTCCACGATCAATATAATAAAGTGCAGTATTATAATCTTCTTGTGAATGATATATCCCAATTATTTGAAATATAATTCTACAATGCCAATAAGGTTGTTGAGATGATAGATCATATGCTTGTTGAAGTAATGTTATTGCTGATGCAAATTGATTTTGATTTGAATAAATTTTTGCTAATAAACAAAGACTTTCAAGTTTTATATCGTCGGGCATTTGTGCTAATTGACACTAATACAAAAAAAACAAAAAATATTTATTTTATATCAAAAAAAAATTATATTAACAAACAGCTTTATCAAGATGCATAGATGCCATATCAACATTTGTTGTATGTTGTGTATATAATCTTCCCAGAAATAAATGAATTTTCGCTTCAATTAATGGTGGTAATCTTATTGTTAGAATAGCTTGTAAACATTGTATTGCTAAACGATAATTTGGTGGTGTACTAGTTCGGAAATATTCAGCGGAGCCAAGTAAAGCTAAATAGACTGGATCAGCCATCTAAAACAAATCCTTATATATATATATATCAGATCTAACTAAATGCAGAAATAAATACGTATGTTTCATTCAATAAACAAAAAAAAAAGAGAAGCAGATTTGTTTGTTTTTTTTGCATGCGCATAAAATTAAAAATAAATTGTTATTACACATAGAACTAAAGAATAAAGAAAAAAAGAGACTAGCCACAACAAATAAACGGGAATAGCGCATCACTCTTCTTTCTTTCTTTTTTTTAAACACAAAAAATATTGCTTTTTTTGTTTGTTTGTTTGATAAAGTAAAAAGAAACACAGGGTTTAGTTAAAGAGAGATTTCCTAAATTGCACAGAAGAAGAAAAAGAATGACAAAAAAACACCGTAATATAGAAGTGAAGATGGTTTGGGTTTTATTGATAAGATTAATAAGGAATTGAATTTTGTTGATATTGTATATAATCATATAGACGTGTTCTTAAACTATGTGCACATCGATTAATTACTTCGTGCATATAACGACCAGCTTCTGCTTCACTTGAATCTGGTTTTAAACGAGCATTTAATTGTTCTAATGTATGACCACGAAAACATGGTAAACCTGTATCAAGCATTAGTGCAACAAGAGTAATAAAATCATGACGATATGGCCTAAAATAATAATAATATTATTTCATTATAATAGAAAATTTTGAACTTACCTTAAAGCTAAATAACCTTTAATACATAATTCTTTAAACCATTGAAAAGCTGGAGCTGTTAAATCTCCCATAATAAGAATCATTTCAGCAGTTAATTTAATATCTGGTTCAAATCGCATATTTCCTCCTGGTGACGATTCAAACATAAAACCAAAATCTAATTAAGAAAAAAAAGACAAATATAATAATTAAGAATTTTATAATAAACAAACCAATATGAACAATGTGTCCATCATCATCAATCCTAAAAATAAAATTTAAACTATAGAAATGATTGAAATAATTTTATTCTATACAAACATTATATTTCCATTATGACGATCTTTTATCTGAAGCATAAAAAGTGCTATTGAATATGCTGCCATACTCATAACAAAATTTCGACGTGCCTATAAAAATATTCGATAAGATTTTTCGTCAAATTGATGATAATATAATATTACTTTTTGAAATTTAATTGAATCATCTTTTCCATAAACATGTCGGAAATAATCAAATAGACCAACTTCAGTATTTCTACCGATATCCTCACGTGAACGAGAATTTGGTACACATTCAATAACACCACACTATGATAAATATTCAATATATATATTATTAAAAGAATTAGTTATTAAAATGCTTACACCAGGACTTGTAGCAATAACACGATATGTATATAAATATAATTCTAAACCTTCTTGTTCGAATATATTTTGAAAAAGACGCATTAATTGTAAAGCCAAAATATCCTTAATTAGAAAATGAATTTCTTTATATTTCAAAGGAACAAAATAGATATATTTAATTATACCTGTCGAACATCATCACCAACTTTAAAAATAGCCATTTGAGAATATTGATTACTAAAATCTTGCATTAATTCATAATCAGGATCAGCACAATGTTCAACTTGTTCAATGCCAACAGTTTGTACACGAAATGTTGCTCGATATGGTGCTTTAGCCGCACTAAAAAATAAATTTTATTTTTCATAATAATAGATATATTTGTTTATAGAAATAAATCAATTTACCTTTGCATTGGTGCTCCACTTTCTGGTATCAAAGATATAACGATTGCTTCAGGATTTGATGGAAGATAAACACCAGGTGGAACTTCACTACCAATTGAACGTAATTCTTGTAGGCAAGCTATGAAGAAAAAGGAATTGAAGTCATAGTAAGAAATTTTCTTTTACCTTCTTTTCGTGAATTTCCTTTTGGATAAACTTTAATTGTATCGGAAACTTTTGTAAGACGATCCGAAAAAGCAAAAACACGTTCATAGAAATTCTTTGCATCAGGTGTAAAATCAAGTTCAATCTGTCGTGCAATTGGTTCTAATTTTGCTTGCATTTCATTATCAGGTGTATCTTCATTTTTAAATGTATTCGTTCGAATATTCCATATAAGTTGATGCGCTAATAAATTGGATTTTTTTGATAGTGCCAATATTAAACGACGTACAAAACCCATCTAAAAATTAAAAAAAAACAATTTTAATTAATAAAAAAAGCTAATTTTTTTCTTTATTATATACTTCATCATATCGAACAGCTTGTACTAATTGAGGAATGTATAGAATAAGTGCTTCAGATTTTGTTGTATATAACATTCGTGATGAAAATTGAATTGTATATGAATTTGCTACTTGATTAAGTCGTGCACTAGCAAAATAAGATAGTGCAGCAACAGGATTAATTGCAGCCCATGTTAGAATATGAGATGTCTAAAAAATAACATGAATAAATAACTTATTATTTGAAAGTACTTTTTTTTTCTCTTTTACTTCGCATTGTCGATCATTATCTGAAGTTAATGTAAAGATACTAAGTGCTTCTGGTATATGACGAACTTGTAATGGATATGATCTAACTAAACGTTGTATTTCAAGACGTAATGATTCTTTTGGAATTCTAAAGAATTATTTATTTCTAAAATGAAATGTAATTAACAAAATTAACTTACGTATAATAAAGACTAATAGCTAAATCTGGTGAAATAAACCATGCTAAACGCCCATATTCTTGCCAAGCTTTATTTGATATTCCATTCAGATCATATAATTTCCAATTTGTATACGTTGATTGTGTATCTTGATCAAATTGAAGTTCTGGACGTCCCAAAGGATTATGAAATGTTTCTAGACGTTCAATTTCATATGCCTAAAACGAGAAATAAATATCGTTGTTTTTGTATAGGATTTTTCTAAAAGAATTATTCAACTTACAATCAATGTTAGAAGAAGATTACGTTTTTTAAGTAAATCTCGAGATAATATTCGTGCATCAGTACTTTTTTCAGTATTTTTTGCTGATGTTGCTAAAATAAATGTTAAATATAAAGATTTTAATATAAAATAGTTTATATATTTACCAGATTTTCGACTTATTGTTGATTGTCCACTAACACCTGTTGCAACTGCAGTATTACCAGCTAATGTATTTATCCATCCAGTTGTTCCACTTTTATTTGTACCATACAATGAGCTACCATCATTTACTTCATTATTAATTCCATTAGGTATTGAATTACTAACATCAACTAAAATAAACAAAAAAAAAAGAATCATATCATATTATTTTTTAATATTTAAACAAAAACTAACTTGTTACTGGCGAATCACTACAAAATTTCTTTTCCCCATGAACTAATGAAAAGAATCGAATTAATGTTCGAATATCATTTCTTAATTCATTATGCGTTTGAGTTGGACAATGATGACGAACACTATTTGTAAAGAAAAAAATTTATTTCACAAATAAAACGCATTTCTTGTTGTTTTTGTCTTACGTAAAATAATCAAATGCTGTATGATAGATTTTTTCTCGTAATAAATATTTACTAACACCATTAGCTAAATAATCACTTTGTACAAGATATAAAGCAAGATATAAAAATCGAAATCTAAGACCAACACCACCAACATGTCTTGTCATTGGTGCTTTAGGATTTTCTAATATTAATGATAGAGATTTATGTAATAAATCAACAAGCATTTCCATTTCAATATCAGCTTTATGCATGCAGAGATATATACGTTCTTCAATAAACTAAATAAATAAAAAGATTTAAATTTGAAATAGAAAAAAAAACAGATGATTTTGAAATAAATTACTTTTAAAAATATTCGATGTGGATTAACAGATGGTGGTTTAGGTTTTAATTCTTCTTTTTCGGATGGTGCAAGTGGTGATGGTTCGGGTTTATCAATCGAATAAAGACCATGACGATCGCTAATAATTTTTTCCCAAACTTTATAAATTTCTTTGACAATCTAGAATTTTAAATCATTTTTATTTAAATACATATAAAATATATATATTTACTAATAATTCAAGTTCAGGTCGACCAGTAATTGCCCAACACCAACAATCAACTGCTCCTTCCATAACAGATGCAGTAAACATTTTTATTGGTAACCATACTATTGCATGAACCATATCTCGATCAAGTGCATTTTCTGGAATAAAAAATTCATAAAAAAATAGTTTTTAATAAATCATTTTCATTATTTACCTTTCGGTGTATTAGAACCATTGAGTCCAGAACCAATAGCTGCAAAACGAAGTTCATGTTCATTATCTTCTAAAAAATAAAGATTCAAATAATTAGTTTTCAGTTTTATCAAGTATTTTATTCTACTAACCTGAATCATCAATATTATGAATTAACATTGCTGTTAATTTAAATAATCCATTTCGAAAATTACTATCGACTAAAATAAAATATTTCAAAATGATGATTTTCTTTGATCAATAAAAATCTCTTACAAATTGCAATTCGTTCTTCAAAATCTAATGCATTTCCTTTATCACTAACAGGTGCTACAATTGACATTCGACGGCGACGTTGTTGTAATGATTTATATTTATCAAGTGAACTCAATCGTTTATAAATAGCTGTTTCCATTTGTTCTTTTATTTGAATTAATGCTACTCGATATTCATTTCTATCAAGTCCTTCAACCTAATCATAAAAAAAGAATAATTCATATACTTTGTTTCTTATCTAATAACTTACAAAACCAACTGCAGCATTTCTTTCACCTACTGATACCATATAATCAGCGAAATCAGTTCGGTAATATAATTTACTTCCACCAGTTGCTGTCTATTATTAATTTAAAAACAAAAAATTAATTAATATGATAAATAATATTAAATTACATTCGCATCAGCTGCTTTTGAATAAGTACTTAAATATTCCCACATAACCTAAATTAAAAAGGAAATTATAAGAAATAATTCACTTATTAGAACTTACATGTAAGCCTTTATGTTGCCGAGCTGCATTTGAAGTCTTTTTTCCTTTTCCAAGTTTAATCATATATTGCTGAAATAATCAATATTAATTTTCTTTTTTTACAAAAATTCAATTCTTATTCTTACTTGAATGCATGATTTAAGTAAAGTTGGTGACATCATTAATGCTTGTTCAATAAATGTTCGACCAAAATCCACAAATGCATTAAAAAGCTCCTATTAATATTTTAAATAGGTAAGATTATTTAAGGAAAATTTTGATTCAATCAAACAAACCAATCGTTTTTCATGTGTATCAACAAATTGAATTGTATAATTTGTATCGGGTACACGATGATGTGCAGTTACTTTATGTAAATTATCTTCATTTAATGAATAGGATAGAATATTAATTATATTCATTAATGTTTCAATTATAACTGAACTACAGAATAAATGTGGAAAACTAGACAAAACAAAAATAATCAGTTTGATTTTTATATTTAGAAATAAATTCATACGCATTTTTCGATAATAATGAATGAAGATAGAGTTTAGCTTCATCGCGTACTTCAGCACGAACATGAGTTCGTTTAACCATAAAAAATTGACATTGTGTTTTAAGATTTTTATTTCTTTCAGGACTTTTTGGCTAAATAAATAAACATATATACATACATATAACAAATTTCTATAGAAGAAGTAGACAACTATTTAGAATCAATTTGTTTTTACTAGAAGACTAAGCAAGTAAAAGAAAATCTCGAAATCAATCAATCAATCAACAAAATTGAGCAGCAAGAAGAGCTACTAAGACATTCTTATACAATGAGTCGTATACCAATTCGTACCAAATATGATTCCATTACCAGATTTTCAACAGGACTTTGTTGATCTTATATAATCAAAAATTCTCTGTTTTTCGTTAGATTTTATTACTTATTCAGGTCATCTATTATATATATTATCAATCTTACCATTTTCTTCATTTCTTCAACATATATTTCAAAACTTTTTCTTCCAACAGCTGTCATTAATGTCCATAAACCTTTAAAATATTTAAACTGAAATCTTTATTCTATTTTTGAATTTCTTTATACCATATTTATCTTTTAATAAACCTGGATCTTCAAGATATGAAAATATACATTGAAATGCTGATGGAATCATTGAATGACGAACTCTGAATAAATAAATAAATGTGTAAAAATCATTACTTTTACTAATAAAATCTACCTATATGTTTCTAAATAATATACGGATAGTGTATAAGCACTTTGTTCAAAACCAAATCTATCAATAAATGGTTTAGCTGATGGATAAGCAGAAAAAACTGTATTTAATTTTGATTTTAATTCATTATTATCTTCCTAAAAACGAATATATATAATTAATATTGTTTTTGATTTATAAATTACTTTAGTGATCAGTTCGGGTTTCAGTGGCATAGCTGATTTTAATGGTACATATGGACCTGTTTGTGCTACTAATGTTGGTGATTTTGTTGCAATTAATCGAACACAATCATGCCATTCTGATGGCCATGAACCTCGATCAGAATCAGCAAAACCAAATAGTACACAATAGAACCAAAAATGTTGAAATAAACGAAATACACGTTCAGATGGTTCAACAATAACCGATATACGACGCATAACAATAGCTATAACAGGTATCAACACGCCAAGACTACCTGCAGTATTCGATACCTAAATAAATATCAATAAGATACAAAAAGAAATTTCAATAAAACTTTACTTTAAGAGTATTTTTTGTTAATTTTTCACTAACATCTTTTGCTCGTAAACCCAGTTGAACGAATAACTCGAGAATACTAGTTAGTAAATTCATTAATTCTACTGAACCTTGAATATTAGCAGCTACATTAGCTAATGCATTGATAACAGCATTTGATGCTTGTCTAAAAAGAAATGTTTTTTTCTCAAATGATTCATTTAGTGATACATACTTATATTTAGTTGTATGTCGTCCTGTTGTTGTTAATGTATTTGTATTATCATAAACATGATAAGTTGAATCAATAATAATTTCTGTAAAAAGTCCAATAATTTCTTCATACGTTGTTTGTGGCTAAAATAAAATAAGAATAATAAAAACTTATTGTTGTTGTTGTTCGTGTTTTATTATTTAAAAGAAATAAAATGCAAAATGAATCAAGGTTTTTATAGCTATTCAAAATGAATACCTCATTCGTTGAACAAAGTATATGATTAGAGATTTTTTTCGGAGGTTTTTTATCTTTTCTTTTTAGAAGTTTTTTTCGATCAAAAATAAATTCGACCGGCGTTTGAGTTAATTTTCTGAATGGTAATTTAAATTTTTGAATTAGAAATGGTCTACGATTAGAAGATTTTATGAAAATGGAATTAACTAATGAAAAATATGATCGTTCAATTAGAAAATTAGATGAATCATTCTAAATAAGAACAACAATAGGAGAAAAACAAAATACATCAGGATACGTACGAGACTTGAAATAAGCATACAACCAATTTGATTTATAATGAGAATATCAAGTGGTGATGGCGGATCACCAAGACGTTGTTGAAATCGTGCTAAAATTGATTGTTGAGTATGTTGAACATCTTTTAATGCTACTGCCATATGACCCAATGTAAGAATTGTATTATGAGATACTAATGATGTTTGTCTAAATTAATAAAAACGAAAATAAAATAGATATGGAATTTTATAAATGTTGTAATTCATTTCAAGCTGTTTCAATTGAGAACGAACAATGTCAAGTGAATCGATTGTATTCAATATTTTAGACTCAGACGTAAGCGGTACAACGAAGATAATTTAACAAAAAGCGTATCGAAGAATAAACGAGTGAAATCGTGCTAAATCTACTGAATATCCTAATCTTTAATAGTAGTCATCTGTTTAACAATGAAACAGCTTGAAATATCAATAACACTTCAAAAGCAAACGGGCCATTGACATATGTTGTTCGAACAGAAAAAAAGAAGTGTGCAGTCTTAATTATAATTGAACGAAATATATTTATATATCAAAAATTCATATTCAAGCATTCACTATAAAACACAGCAGACAGAAAAAAAGCCGAGAAAAATGAATAGAATGATATATTCTATTCATCATCTCACTTACAATAAACTTTCATATTTTTCTTTGTTAACACCGTGTCGTATTGACGAACGGCGTTTGAGTGCAGCTGCATCGAGTAGTACAATATTAAACATCCAATTCGAACTGAAAACGTCCATTTATGTATATATATATATAGAAATAATATGTGACAAAAAAAAATAAACAAAAAGCATGCCAAACGTTTATATATTATAAATTATTTTACCCCACTTCGAACTACTATACTATAAGCTATGAAATTATTTCTTAGAAAATACATACTTATCATTAACATGACCAGAAGCAAGTCTTGCAGAAAGTTGAACAAGTAAAGCTTCAACACATTTTGGATTCGAATCCAAAGAAATAAATAATGATCTAAAAGAAATTATTTAGAAGATACAACGTTTTCTTCTTTTATTTAACTAACTTGCAAAGTCCTTCAATTGCAGCATCACGTAATTTTTCAAATATTTGAAATGCTCGATATTCTTTGAAAGTTTTTGCTTGTTCATTAAAAAAAAATCCACGTTCTTGTCCATCAATTTTTAAACTCGTATGACGATATAATTTATAAAGCAGTGGTGATGGTTCAGTTAAAAAATCACATAATGCTCGTATGACATATGTTGCTAATGATTTATGTTTTTCTGCTAATCGACTTAATACCTAAAAAATATTTACATATTAAAAAAAAACAACAATATCTTTTTTTATTACTTCTAATGATGTTACTAATAATGGTATTTGTGCGGCCAATAATTTAATACTTAAAGATTCTTGACTAAATTTTTCTGCACATTTTGTACATAACTTTTCTGCTTCTAAATTATCAGATGGAAAAAAAAACAATTACGATAAAATATTTTAAAAAAGAAAGAATTTGTTTGATTAAAATTAATAAAAGAAAACATTTAAAAAATCAAACGAAGAAAT